GGGGAAGGTTAGGGTGGGGGGAATAAGCGCCTACTGACTTGCCTGCAGCAGCTGTTCTCAATGAGCTCTTTGCAACCAGGGCAGGGGCCCTGGCACAGAGGGGTCTCTGCCCTGGGTAGCAGGTATCCTAGGGCCCAGAAGGGAGGGGGAGTTCCAGAAGATATTACCACTCTCACCCTCCAAGTCTAAGAAAGGCCCTGAACAACATACTTCCCAGACACAGTTTGCACAGTTGACCCACTCATGTAGGTCAAGGCAGATTTGGGCTGATCTGTTAAGAGTCAGGTGAGTGCGGAAGGGAACTCATATACTAATCCATCCCCCAGATACCGTGCTGGACCCTCTCACATCCATTATGTCATTTATTCTTCACCATAACCATGTGAAATAGATATTCTTATCCCCATTCAGCAGGCAAGGGGACAGGCCCTGAGAAGTGACAGCTTGCTCCAGGTTACACAGGCAGTTAAGTGAGTCAAGACTGAGCCCAGGTCCATCTGACACCCGGATTAGTTCCTTTCCAGTATCCCTGGCCACTCGAAACTCCTGTGGGGAAGAAGGGTCTGTATATGATTAAGATGAGAGAGGCCATGTGGCGAGAATGGGGTTAAGAGCACAGATTCTTTGCCCAGATCACCTGGGTTTGAGTGGGGTCTCCACTTCTTCCAGCTATGGTGCCTGGGGCAAATTACTAAATCTTGCAGTGCCTCTGTTTTCTCATTTCTAAAAGGAGGCACTACCTCTCATGTAGGTCATTGGGAGGCTTAGCTGAGTTAACACTCATGGAGCACTTAGAACAGTGCCTGGCACGTGGTAAACACGTACATGCCAGGCATTGTGCAAAGGGGATATGAAGGCGAACCAGCCAGACCCTGCTTTCAGGGAGTTGACATTATTTAATATGGAACCACATAAGAATAAGGGCTATGAAGGAAAGGATATTGTGTCCAGGCAGTGAGCACCATGGGTCCTCTGTGGCCAAGGCTTCCCGAGGGTGTAGGAGGAGGGGAGCAGGTCCATTCTGGAGTAAAGTGTGGGACTACCCTCTGCCCTACCTGACTTCCAGGCACACGGGCCTATGTGTTTACAGAACCTTGTCCAGGTGTCTGGCTGTGGGAGGGCAGCGGGGAGAGTGGACAGTGGGAGGAGATGGAGGATGCCCTTGATATCAAGCTTCTGGAGCCAGCCCCTTTGGGCTAGAGAGCTCCCGCCCACCCATGGAAGCAGATTTAGCCATTTCTCCCTGGCTAGTGGTGCCTGCCATGGGGTACCGCAGGCACTCCCTGGTTAAACCAAGATCCCGGAGACCCAGCGTGGGAGTACTGGACTGGAGCTGGGCCAAAGCAGGCAATGAATA